ATTGTCTTGGTAGATGTGGAGGGTTATCACATTTTAGTCATTTAGCAGACGCTCTTATCCAGAGCGACTTACAGTTAGTGAGTGCATACATTATTTTTCATACTGGCGTACCCACAACCCTGGCGTTGCAAACACCATGCTCTACCAACTGAGCTACATCCCTGCCGGCCATTCCCTCCCCTATCCTGGACGACGCTGGGACGATTGTGTGCCGCCCCATGGGTCTCCCGGTCGCAGCCGGCTACAACAGAGCCTGGATTCGAACCAGGATCTCTAGTGGTACAGGTAGCCCTGCGATGCAGTGCCTTAGACCACTGCGCCACTCGGGAGGGAGTGAAGTCAAAGTCAGAATATTAATATCTGTGATCTGAACAAATAGCTGAAACATGCATTACCTCATGCCTAAATTCAAGGTCAGAATACACAAAGAGAGAATGAAGTGCCATAACCCGGGTCTGAATCGGGCCCTTGGCATTTAGCTGTGTCCTGTATATATACACACAGATGAAGACACAGTCACTCGCATCAAAGAGGATCAATGGCTACCAGGTCATCTAGGAGAACAGATACTATATGTATATCTGTATATATGTATATATGTATACCTATATAGCTGTATATATAGGATGCAGTATGTATAGGATGCTGTATGTATAGGATGCAGTATGTATAGGATGCTGTATGTATAGGATGCTGTATGTATAGGATGCTGTATGTATAGGATGCAGTATGTATAGGATGCTGTATGTATAGGATGCAGTATGTATAGGATGCAGTATGTCAAGGCCGCAGTATGTATAGGATGCTGTATGTATAGGATGCAGTATGTATAGGATGCTGTATGTATAGGATGCTGTATGTATAGGATGCAGTATGTATAGGATGCTGTATGTATAGGATGCAGTATGTATAGGATGCTGTATGTATAGGATGCTGTATGTATAGGATGCAGTATGTATAGGATGCAGTATGTATAGGATGCTGTATGTATAGGATGCAGTATGTATAGGATGCAGTATGTATAGGATGCTGTATGTATAGGATGCAGTATGTTTAGGATGCTGTATGTATAGGATGCTGTATGTATAGGATGCAGTATGTATAGGATGCAGTATGTGTGGATGCAGTATGTATAGGATGCAGTATGTATAGGATGCTGTATGTATAGGATGCAGTATGTATAGGATAGTGTATGTATAGGATGCAGTATGTATAGGATGCAGTATGTATAGGATGCAGTATGTATAGGATGCTGTATGTATAGGATGCAGTATGTATAGGATGCAGTATGTATAGGATGCTGTATGTATAGGATGCAGTATGTATAGGATGCTGTATGTATAGGATGCAGTATGTATAGGATGCAGTATGTATAGGATGCTGTATGTATAGGATGCTGTATGTATAGGATGCAGTATGTATAGGATGCTGTATGTATAGGATGCAGTATGTGTGGATGCAGTATGTATAGGATGCTGTATGTATAGGATGCAGTATGTATAGGATGCAGTATGTATAGGATGCAGTATGTATAGGATGCTGTATGTATAGGATGCAGTATGTCAAGGCCGCAGTATGTATAGGATGCAGTATGTATAGGATGCTGTATCTATAGGATGCTGTATGTATAGGATGCTGTATGTATAGGATGCTGTATGTATAGGATGCAGTATGTATAGAATGCTGTATGTATAGGATGCAGTATGTATAGGATGCAGTATGTATAGGATGCTGTATGTATAGGATGCTGTATGTATAGGATGCTGTATGTATAGGATGCAGTATGTATAGGATGCTGTATGTATAGGATGCAGTATGTATAGGATGCTGTATGTATAGGATGCTGTATGTATAGGATGCTGTATGTATAGGATGCAGTATGTATAGGATGCAGTATGTATAGGATGCTGTATGTATAGGATGCAGTATGTTTAGGATGCTGTATGTATAGGATGCAGTATGTATAGGATGCAGTATGTATAGGATGCAGTATGTATATGATGCTGTATGTATAGGATGCTGTATGTATAGGATGCAGTATGTATAGGATGCAGTATGTATAGGATGCAGTATGTATAGGAGGCTGTATGTATAGGATGCAGTATGTATGGGATGCAGTATGTATAGGATGCAGTATGTATAGGATGCTGTATGTATAGGATGCAGTATGTATAGGATGCAGTATGTATAGGATGCTGTATGTATAGGATGCAGTATGTATAGGATGCTGTATGTATAGGATGCTGTATGTATATGATGCAGTATGTGTGGATGCAGTATGTATAGGATGCTGTATGTATAGGATGCAGTATGTATAGGATGCAGTATGTATAGGATGCAGTATGTTTAGGATGCTGTATGTATAGGATGCTGTATGTATAGGATGCTGTATGTATAGGATGCAGTATGTATAGGATGCTGTATGTATAGAATGCAGTATGTATAGGATGCAGTATGTATAGGATGCTGTATGTATAGGATGCAGTATGTGTGGATGCAGTATGTATAGGATGCAGTATGTATAGGATGCTGTATGTATAGGATGCTGTATGTATAGGATGCAGTATGTATAGGATACAGTATGTATAGGATGCTGTATGTATAGGATGCAGTATGTATAGGATGCTGTATGTATAGGATGCAGTATGTATAGGATGCTGTATTTATAGGATGCAGTATGTGTGGATGCTGTATGTATAGGATGCTGTATGTATAGGATGCAGTATGTATAGGATGCTGTATTTATAGGATGCAGTATGTGTGGATGCTGTATGTATAGGATGCTGTATGTATAGGATGCTGTATGTAAAGGCCGCAGTATGTAAAAGCCACAGTATGTAAAGGCCACAGTATGTAAAGGCCGCAGTATGTAAAGGTCACAGTATGTAAAGGCCGCAGTATGTAAAGGCCACAGTATGTAAAGGCTGCAGTATGTAAGGCCACAGTATGTCAAGGCTGCAGTATGTCAAGGCCGCAGTATGTATAGGCTTTAGTCTTTGAGGCCATAATGTCCCCTGTAGCTCAGTTGGTAGAGAACAGTGTTTCCAACGCCAGGGTTGTGGGTTCGTTTCCCACGGGGAGCCAGTATGAAAATGTATGCACTCACTAACTGTAAGTCGCTCTGGATAAGAGCGTCTGCTAAATGACTAAAATGTAAATACATAAAGAGGAAACAGGTCATGAAGACTCTATATGCACCCTATTCCCTACAGAGCACCATTGGGCCCTGGTCAAAGGTAGTGTGCTATATAGGGAATAGGGGACTCATCTGAGTCAAGAAGGCTTTACTTTAAGCATTTGAATTCATGCCTACGCACTGTTGAAGTCTGAAGATTTACATACAGTGGGGGAAAAAAGTATTTAGTCAGCCACCAATTGTGCATGTTCTCCCACTTAAAAAGATGAGAGAGGCCTGTAATTTTCATCACAGGTACACGTCAACTATGACAGACAAAATGAGAAGAAAAAATCCAGAAAATCACATTGTAGGATTTTTTATGAATTTATTTGCAAATTATGGTGGAAAAGAAGTATTTGGTCAATAACAAAAGTTTCTCAATACTTTGTTATATACCATTTGTTGGCAATGACACAGGTCAAACGTTTTCTGTAAGTCTTCACAAGGTTTTCACACACTGTTGCTGGTATTTTGGCCCATTCCTCCATGCAGATCTCCTCTAGAGCAGTGATGTTTTGGGGCTGTCGCTGGGCAACACGGACTTTCAACTCCCTCCAAAGATTTTCTATTGGGTTGAGATCTGGAGACTGGCTAGGCCACTCCAGGACCTTGAAATGCTTCTTACGAAGCCACTCCTTCGTTGCCCGGGCGGTGTGTTTGGGATCATTGTCATGCTGAAAGACCCAGCCACGTTTCATCTTCAATGCCCTTGCTGATGGAAGGAGGTTTTCACTCAAAATCTCACGATACATGGCTCCATTCATTCTTTCCTTTACACGGATCAGTCGTCCTGGTCCCTTTGCAGAAAAACAGCCCCAAAGCATGATGTTTCCACCCCCATGCTTCACAGTAGGTATGGTGTTCTTTGGATGCAACTCAGCATTCTTTGTCCTCCAAACACGACGAGTTGAGTTTTTACCAAAAAGTTATATTTTGGTTTCATCTGACCATATGACATTCTCCCAATCCTCTTCTGGATCATCCAAATGCACTCTAGCAAACTTCAGACAGGCCTGGACATGTACTGGCTTAAGCAGGGGGACACGTCTGGCACTGCAGGATTTGAGTCCCTGGCGGCGTAGTGTGTTACTGATGGTAGGCTTTGTTACTTTGGTCCCAGCTCTCTGCAGGTCATTCACTAGGTCCCCCCGTGTGGTTCTGGGATTTTTGCTCACCGTTCTTGTGATCATTTTGACCCCACGGGGTGAGATCTTGCGTGGAGCCCCAGATCGAGGGAGATTATCAGTGGTCTTGTATGTCTTCCATTTCCTAATAATTGCTCCCACAGTTGATTTCTTTAAACCAAGCTGCTTACCTATTGCAAAGAGGCACTGAGTTTGAAGGTAGGCCTTGAAATACATCAACAGGTACACCTCCAATTGACTCAAAAATGTCAATTAGCCTATCAGAAGCTTCTAATGCCATGACATCATTTTCTGGAATTTTCCAAGCTGTTTAAAGGCACAGTCAACTTAGTGTATGTAAACTTCTGACCCACTGGAATTGTGATACAGTGAAGTATAAATGAAATAATCTGTCAGTAAACAATTGTTGGAAAAATTACTTGTGTCATGCACAAAGTAGATGTCCTAACCGACTTGCCAAAACAATAGTTTGTTAACAAGAAATTTGTGGAGTGGTTGAAAAACAAGTTTTAATGACTCCAACCTAAGTGTATGCAAACTTCCGACTTCAACTGTAGCATGTAACAAAACTTCTTGAAAGAAACTCAAAAAAACACAAAACTCCTTTCACTGTACTTTGAGAGAGAGAGAGAGAGAGAGAGAGAGATGCTTGACTGGCTCATCAGTAATTGGTCTTATTAAAATGACAGACTCTCATCCTCACACATCAGCAGAGCCTGAATTAACAGAAAGGAGAGAGAGATCTCCTTGGAATTGCTTATAATTACATCCACTACGTCTTCAGAAACAGCCATCTCTACAGACCAAACATATTTAAATGCAAATGGTCACAGCGGCTAGCATAATTAACTTCACAAGACTCTGGACTTACTGTTAAAACCTTGTATATGTTTCCTTGTGGGGATCAGAAGTCCAGGGATAGTAGAGGGATAGTCCAGGGATAGTAAAGGGATAGTAGAGGGATAGTCCAGGGATAGTAGAGGGATAGTAGAGGGATAGTCCAGGGATAGTAGAGGGATAGTAGAGGGATAGTCCAGGGATAGTAGAGGGATAGTAGAGGGATAGTCCAGGGATAGTAGAGGGATAGTATAGGGATAGTGGAGGGATAGTCCAGGGATAGTAGAGGGATAGTCCAGGGATAGTAGAGGGATAGTAGAGGGATAGTGGAGGGATAGTCCAGGGATAGTAGAGGGATAGTCCAGGGATAGTAGAGGGATAGTAGAGGGATAGTGGAGGGATAGTCCAGGGATAGTAGAGGGATAGTCCAGGGATAGTAGAGCGATAGTAGAGGGATAGTAGAGGGATAGTATAGGGATAGTGGAGGGATAGTAGAGGGATAGTCCAGGGATAGTCCAGGGATAGTCCAGGGATAATAGAGGGATAGTAGAGGGATAGTCCAGGGATAGTCCAGGGATAGTAGAGGGATAGTAGAGGGATAGTAGAGGGATAGTCCAGGGATAGTAGAGCGATAGTAGAGGGATAGTCCAGGGATAGTAGAGGGATAGTAGAGGGATAGTCCAGGGATAGTAGAGGGATAGTCCAGGGATAGTAGAGGGATAGTCCAGGAACAGTAGAGGGATAGTAGAGGGATAGTCCAGGGATAGTCCAGGGATAGTCCAGGGATAGTCCAGGGATAGTAGAGGGATAGTAGAGGGATAGTCCAGGGATAGTCCAGGGATAGTAGAGGGATAGTAGAGGGATAGTAGAGGGATAGTAGAGGGATAGTCCAGGGATAGTAGAGCGATAGTAGAGGGATAGTCCAGGGATAGTAGAGGGATAGTAGAGGGATAGTCCAGGGATAGTAGAGGGATAGTCCAGGGATAGTAGAGGGATAGTCCAGGAACAGTAGAGGGATAGTAGAGGGATAGTCCAGGGATAGTCCAGGGATAGTCCAGGGATAGTCCAGGGATAGTAGAGGGATAGTAGAGGGATAGTCCAGGGATAGTAGAGGGATAGTAGAGGGATTGTCCAGGGATAGTAGAGGGATAGTCCAGGGATAGTAGAGGGATAGTCCAGGGATAGTAGAGGGATAGTAGAGGGATAGTCCAGGGATAGTAGAGGGATAGTAGAGGGATAGTAGAGATATAGTCCAGGGATAGTAGAGGGATAGTAGAGGGATAGTCTAGGGATAGTCCAGGGATAGTAGAGGGATATTCCAGGGATAGTAGAGGGATAGTAGAGGGATAGTCCAGGGATAGTAGAGGGATAGTCCAGGGATAGTCCAGGGATAGTCCAGGGATAGTAGAGGGATAGTCCAGGGATAGTCCAGGGATAGTAGAGGGATAGTCCAGGGATAGTAGAGGGATAGTAGAGGGATAGTAGAGGGATAGTAGAGGGATAGTCCAGGGATAGTAGAGGGATAGTAGAGGGATAGTCCAGGGATAGTAGAGGGATAGTCCAGGGATAGTAGAGGGATAGTAGAGGGATAGTCCAGGGATAGTAGAGGGATAGTAGAGGGATAGTCCAGGGATAGTAGAGGGATAGTAGAGTGATAGTCCAGGGATAGTAGAGGGATAGTAGAGGGATAGTCCAGGGATAGTCCATGGATAGTAGAGGGATAGTAGAGGGATAGTCCAGGGATAGTAGAGGGATAGTAGAGGGATAGTCCAGGGATAGTAGAGGGATAGTCCAGGGATAGTCCAGGGATAGTCCAGGGATAGTAGAGGGATAGTAGAGGGATAGTCCAGGGATAGTCCATGGATAGTAGAGGGATAGTAGAGGGATAGTCCAGCGATAGTAGAGGGATAGTAGAGGGATAGTAGAGGGATAGTCCAGGGATAGTCCAGGGATAGTCCAGGGATAGTAGAGGGATAGTAGAGGGATAGTCCAGGGATAGTCCAGGGATAGTAGAGGGATAGTAGAGGGATAGTCCAGGGATAGTAGAGGGATAGTAGAGGGATAGTAGAGGGATAGTCCAGGGATAGTCCAGGGATAGTAGAGGGATAGTAGAGGGATAGTAGAGGGATAGTCCAGCAAGGAAAAATGCTATTTTAGGGTTAGAGTTAGAATTATTATATTTAGGGTTAGAGTTAAAATTAGGCTTAGGGGTTAGGTTTAGTGTTAGGGTTAGAATTAGGGTTAGGGGTTAGGTTTAGTGTTAGGGTTAGAATTAGGGTTAGGGGTTAGGTTTAGGGTTAGAAGTAGAATTAGGCTTAGGGGTTAGGTTTAGGTTAGAATTAGGGTTAGGGGTTAGGTTTAGTGTTAGGGTTGCTCTCTCAGCCTCTCTCTCTTTCATACTCTTCCTTTCGCTCTCTCAGCCTCTCTCTCTTTTCTTTGCTTTGATTTCTCTTGCTCTTTCTCATGTTCTCTCTCACGCACGTAGCTGGTGTTAACAAACAAGGACAAGGACCAATCATAAGTCTTTCTGCTACATATACTTGATGCATACAAAGCCATCCCCCCGCCCCCCACTTCGGCCAATCAGATCACGTCTCTCTGTTCCTACTCCCCGCCTACAAGCAGCAGCTCAGGAGGGAGCCACCAACACAGAGAATAGTGAGGCGCTGGACTGAGGAGGCAGACTCAATACTGGACTGAGGAGGCAGACTCAATACTGGACTGAGGAGGCAGACTCAATGCTGGACTGAGGAGGCAGACTCAATACTGGACTGAGGAGGCAGACTCAATACTGGACAGAGGAGGCAGACTCAATGCTGGACTGAGGAGGCAGACTCAATACTGGACTGAGGAGGCAGACTCAATACTGGACTGAGGAGGCAGACTCAATACTGGACTGAGGAGGCAGACTCAATGCTGGACTGAGGAGGCAGACTCAATACTGGACTGAGGAGGCAGACTCAATACTGGACTGAGGAGGCAGACTCAATACTGGACTGAGGAGGCAGACTCAATGCTGGACTGAGGAGGCAGACTCAATACTGGACTGAGGAGGCAGACTCAATACTGGACAGAGGAGGCAGACTCAATGCTGGACTGAGGAGGCAGACTCAATACTGGACTGAGGAGGCAGACTCAATACTGGACTGAGGAGGCAGACTCAATACTGGACTGAGGAGGCAGACTCAATACTGGACTGAGGAGGCAGACTCAATACTGGACTGAGGAGGCAGACTCAATACTGGACTGAGGAGGCAGACTCAATACTGGACTGAGGAGGCAGACTCAATGCTGCAGGGCTGTTTTGAGAATACTGATTGGAATATGTTCAAAGATTCATCCAACCAGGACTCATCCATCAACATTGAGGAATATACATCGTCAGTCACAGGCTTCATTAGGAAATGTGTTGATGATGTTGTACCCCACAATAACAATCCGGACATACCCAACCAAAAACCCTGGATGAACGGAGATATCCGTACCATGATGAGAGCCCGTACCACAGCATTCAATGTCAGCAGAACGAACCCAGATTAGTCTGTGGCGCGCGACGTGTACAAGGAAAGCAGATACGAGCTCCACAAATCCATTAGGGACACAAAAAGACAGTACAGACTCAAACTTCAATTGATGTTCGACAACTCAGACTCGCAACGCATGTGGCAAGGACTACAGACTATCACGGACTACAGACTATCACGGACTACAGACTATCACGGACTACAAAGGCAAATCCAGCTGTGCGGTGTCTACCGAAGCCTCTCTCCCATGCGAGCCATCCAGGAAGACTCTCACTGCTCCGGACGTCCAGGTGCTTTCGCTCTCCGAGGCTGACGTGAGAGTGAATACTCACAAAGCCGCTGGCCCAGATCGTATGCCTGGCCGCGTCCTCAGAGTGTGTGCTGACCAGCTGGTGGCGTCTGTTCGGATGTGACATGCCCAAATGACTGTCGCACTCACACCATTCACCATGAAGTGATTCGAGATGCAGGTCATGGTCACACATCAAGGCCAGCATGCCTGGCACACTGGACCCACTCCAATCTGCCTACCACTCCAACAGATCCATGGAAGATGCCATTTCCATCACTATTCACACGGCCGCAACACATCTGGACAAGAGGAACACCTGTGTGAGAATGCTGTTCATTGACAATAGTTCAGCATTCAACACTATTGTTCCTTCCAAGATCGACACCATGCTCAGAGCCCTGGGTCTGGACACCACCCTGTGCAACTGGATCCTGGACTTCCTGATGGGCAGACCACAGGCTGTGAGGATTGGCAACAACACCTCCTCCACACTGACTCTTAACACAGGGGGCCCCCCAAGGGTGTGTCCTCAGTCCTCTGCTGTTCACCCGTGACTGCGTGGCTTGACACGACAGCAACTCCATCAACATATTTGCTGACGACACCACGGTTCTAGAACTGGTAACCAACAACGATGAGTCAGCCTATAGGGAGGAGGTGAGTGAACTGGCATTGTGGTGTCATAACAACAACGTCAGCAAAACTAAGGAGTGGATTGTAGACTTTAGGAAGCGGAGGAGGGAACACGCCCCGATCCTCATCAACGGGACTGTAGTAGAGAGTGAGTCAGCAGTTTTAAGTTCCTCAGCGTCCGCATCACCAAGGACTTGACATGGGACCAACAACACTGCCACTCTTGTCGAGAGCGGCGCAACGGCGTCTCTACTTCCTAACGGCAGCTGAAGAAATGCTGCTTGCCACCCCCAGGTCCTCTCCAAATACTACCGCTGCACCATCGAGAGCATCCTGAACAGTTACATCATGGCCTGGTCTGGGAATTGCTTCGTCCACGCCTGCAAGGCCCTCCAGCGGGTGGTGAAGATGGCCCAGTACATCACTGGGACCGTTCTCCCACCCATCCAGGACATCACTGGGACCGTTCTCCCACCCATCCAGGGCATCACTGGGACCGTTCTCCCACCCATCCAGGACATCTACTGCTGAGGAAGGCCCGCAGCATCATCAAGGACCCCACACACCCTCCAGCCACGAGCTATTCTCTCCCTTATCATTGGGCAGATGGTATCGGAGCATGAGGTCTGATACCAACAGGCTCAGAGACAGTTTCTATCTACAAGCCATCAGACTGTATTGGAGCATGAGGTCTGATACCAACAGGCTCAGAGACAGTTTCTATCTACAAGCCATCAGACTGTATTGAAGCATGAGGTCTGATACCAACAGGCTCAGAGACAGTTTCTATCTAGTCAAAGTCAACAAGCCATCAGACTGTATTGAAGCATGAGGTCTGATACCAACAGGCTCAGAGACAGTTTCTATCTAGTCAAAGTCAACAAGCCATCAGACTGCTCAACATGCAGGTTTAAGTTTGTCTTGGAGGTAGAACTGAGCGATTTCCCCTTAGATAGGCCAGCTGCAAAGTCAACATTGGCTATATTGTTAAAATTCATGAAAACAGAAATGAGCTTTTTGGGTCTTAATTTAAGGTTGCGGTGAGGCATTAAGGTTAGCAGTGTGGTTAAGGTTCGATTTTATGACTTTGTGGCTGTGCTGGCTAGTGACCACTCAGCAGGGCTGCCTCCAGAACAACATTCATGACAAAAAACGCTAACCTGAGCTGAACACTTCAACTAGACTGACCATCTGCACTGACTCTCTGCACCAATTCAGACGGCCTACTCTTCTATACTCAAGGGAGACAAAAACCTTGCTAGACTGTTGTTTTAGTGTTAAACTCAATGCTGCTATTGTTTTTAATTTCATAAAGCAGCTTGTGTTTCTTAACCAGGCAGAGGGTAGCTAACTAGAAGGCTGATGGTGACTGGTTAGCTACGGGGAAACAAGAGAGTATAATTAGAGGCGGAGCCGGAGCGGAGCCGTTCTGCCCACAGCCATCGCTAACTCCCCCATAGCTCACCAGCTGATGTTGGCTGTGTGTGCCGGGTGAGACGTGTCCTTCCCACTGCTGAACACAACTGCACCGTGCATCTGTGCTGCTAATATTAATTGTGCATATCACTGAAAAACTCTCACTCTCCAAAAACTCTTGTCCAGTCGATTTAGTAGTCCGATTATAATCAGAGATCAGTTAGTCTTCTCTCATTTTAGTCAGATGAAATGAAAAATCATTTTTAGTTTAGTTATCGTTTTTTGGGGTCTATTCAGTCAGTTAAGGCCACTCGTACTTGATCATTATTTTTGTCACTTTTTTTGTTGACGAAATGAACACGTTGGCTGGTTTATACCATGTGCATACGATTAACCAATCTGGAAACTTGAAGCATAAGACTGAGAACACTCTGCCTGTCTCATCCTCTGTTGGCGTCTCTATGTGTGTTTAGACAGAGAGAGGTAAGAGTCTGACTCAGTAGTGATGCTGAATAGTCAATTAGCACTGCCATGGCTCTCTCACTCACTCACTCACTCACTCACTCACTCACTCACACGCATGCGCGCACACACACATTTTAAATACTTTATTTGAATACACCAATCAAATTTACATTAAAAGAGGATCCAAACATTTCAAAGGTCCCTGTATATATGTCACTCAAGAGTAAACTCAAGACTCCATATGTGTTATTTCATAGTTTTGATGTCTTCACTATTATTCTACAATGTAAAAAAAAAATTGTCCAAATAAAGAAAAACCCTTGAATGAGTAGGTGTGTCCAAACGTTTAACTGGTAGTGTATAAAGCCCCTCCTCCACGACAGCTGAAACAGAGCAGTACCTAGCCAACTGTTTTTGGCACGCCCGCAATCTGGAGGCCACACACTGCAAGCCTGTGTACGTGGCCGAGACTGATGAATATCAGCGCCACCAGCTTACACCAACACCCGAGGCTGTCCAAGCATGCCACGAGGGGCTGGTATTTAAGCAGCCTGTCAAAGGCCTGCTCCATGTAGCCGTCAAATGGGAGACCGAGTGGTCAGCACAGTGCAGAGCAGCGAGTTTCCCCTGCAGCCTCAGGCTAGTCCAGTGTTGAAGTAGCTGCATCCGTCTGATACCGAGGAGTGTTGTCCTGGATGTAGGATGAGATGTTCCATCATGGGGGACAGAAGCCTCCACATCAACACAGGGGTCTGACACAACTGCATCAGAGGCAGTCACTGGCTCAGTTTGCATATCAAGCTGTGTGTTCCACACAGGTCGTTGAGGTCCGGACAGTTTGACCAGACTCCAAAGCCTGCAACACGAGTGTCCAATTTTCCATTGGCCTTCCTCCTGAAGCCCAGGAAGTTGTCCTCAGTGTCCGTAGCCAGTGGAACCTTCGTCCTGAAGCCCAGGAAGTTGTCCTCAGTGTCCGTAGCCAGTGGAACATTCCTCCAGAAGCCCAGGAAGTTGTCCTCAGTGTCCGTGGCCAGTGGAACATTCCTCCAGAAGCCCAGGAAGTTGTCTTCAGTGTCCGTGGCCAGTGGAACCTTCGTCCTGATGCCCAGGAAGTTGTCCTCAGTGTCCGTGGCCAGTGGAACCTTCGTCCTGAAGCCCAGGAAGTTGTCCTCAATTTCCCTGGCCAGTGGAACCTTCCTCCCCTGTAGGTCCAGAAGGAAGGAGGCTCTGGCTAACTCCTTAACTGTCACATCGTCACTGTTGAGCCTGTTCAACAGCTGAGTCAGTCTGGTACAGTGTAAATCCACTTAACATTCGGGACACCCAAATTGTCTTTGGCTCAGGAAGATAACTTCACATGTGGTAGTCATGACATTTTTGTCAAGCTGGTGATTGTCATGCAAATAACTGCCAGTCTCATCATTCCATAATAGTTTGCAGGCCAAACCGTTCGGACGCTACAGACGATTTTGTGAGAAGACCGATTTTCAGGGACGTCTCATGGTCTGACAAACTCAGCTCTAGCTCTGTCACCTTTCACCGCAGATGCGGAAGTGCGACATCGGTCGATGCGGTGGATTGAGACGCATCCAATGAAAAACCAGAACATCTCTAGCTTGAATTGACACAATTGTTGTTATTATTCTAATTAGATTTCCAGGCACGGACATCGACTCTAGGGTTTTTTAATATAGCCTACTCCATCACAGTGAATCCATTATTTATTTTTACACAGGTCTAAAGCAACATGGTGGGGGGAAAATATAGTCTTCCTTATGTTAGGCCCTGATCTGGCTGTGCCATATGGCTGTGGGCTACACTAGTTCATTTAGCAGACAAGATTTGCTTAGAATTCTGTGGCATTATTTTACAGTGTGAAGAATAGTCCTGCAAATGAACACAGCTCATTAAATATCAATAAATACAAAGATTCCCTGTTCTGTGTTGAGCTGTTAAACACAGAAACAGGTCCTCCTATATGCTTCATTTAGAGTTATGTATGCTACTTTAGTTGAGATAACAACGTTAATCTATATGTTGTGATTTTAATACGTTCTAAGGCTGCATGATGCGATTCTAATGATGATTTGAAATAAGTCTCACGAAAGGCATGAGCTCTGCTCTGTTTCACACTTCATCAGTCTCTCATTCACAATTTACCATTTTACATTTTAGCAGATGTGCTTATCCAGAGCAACTTACGGTAGTGAGTGCATACATTTTCATACTTTTTTCTTACTGATCCACCGTGGGAATCAAACCCACAACCTTCGCGTTTGCAAGCACCATGCTCTAACAATTGAGCTACACAGGAATATTATCAAGCAAGAACATGATAATATTCTCACCCATCAGAGTAATCTCAATTGAATCAGGTCTTTATACATAGCCTTACGAATATACGTGTGGCATCATTTTTGTAATCTGTAACCTCAAATAGCAAATGGAGGATACCCGCCGTTACTTTTTAAATATGCAATCATATGCACCATAAGGTAGCCGTTCTCCCCTCAGCCGCCTCCTGTGCTAAAGTGGGAAGGAAAGGCAGCTCGAACAATATGGGCAGATTATTGTTGAGTTGCTAATGTCAGTGAAATGTAGAGAGACCCAGCAAGGCATGTCGCAAAATGTATTGCGGGAAAACATAGATTGGAACCAAAAGGTTATTGCTGTAAAGAGAAGACAATTAAATTACTAATCTGTCTTTTAGTTATCAACATTCTCAATTTACCTTATTGGCACCAGTGGATATCCCCAGTGAGTGCGCACTGTGCATATTCACTATTTATCATTGTTGGGTCAGTGCTACTTAAAAGTTTGTTTTTGGACAATAATTTCCTCCTCCAGTTTAGATGGACATCATATTATATTAGTGTCTCCTCTTCTCATAGGTCTATTATATGGACAACATCATATTAGTGTCTCCTCTTCCCATAGGTCTATTATATGGACAACATCATATTAGTGTCTCCTCTTCTCATAGGTCTATTATATGGACAACATGATATTAGTGTCTCCTCTTCTCATAGGTCTATTATATGGACAACATCATATTATATTAGTTTCTATAGTCTATTATATTGCCACGATTCTCTAAAGCGGAACCCAGAAGCAGACCAGGACAAGGTGAGTAGAATGAAGGTGAGTATTTATTTAAAGACTTAAATGTGGAAGCAGGAGAATCCAGGTGACGGAGCTGGCAGTGGAGGTGAGTTGATGGGAGTGAATGGGCAGATCCAATGATGTTTCTGAAGCCACAGACGACCAGGCAGAGGTGGAGTGAATATTCCAGGAGAGTAATGTTCATGGCTAACGATCCGGCAGGGAATGGATGTCAGGTCAGAGCTTATGAAGTGGAGAGGTGATGATCAGAACCAGGTGGGCAGATAGCTGATGAGATGCAGGTGCGGGTAATGGAGAGATCTCCCGCTTCGTCGCCCGGCAACCAGACAGGGTGCGTTCAGGAAACTCAGGAAAAAAGACTCCAGGACAGAAAACAGTCAACTCAGGCAGAAACCGACTCAGGAAGCGAGATTCATGACAGTACCCCCCCTCCGATGAACGCCACCGGGCGGACTACCCGCCAGGATGGAGGCGGTAGAAGTCACGAAGGAGGTCAGCATCAAGGATCTGACGCCGAGGAATCCAACCGCTCTCCTCAGGACCATACCCCTCCCAGTCCACGAGATACTGGAAACCCCGACCCCCGCCGTCTGGAATCCATGATGCGGTGCACCGTGTAGATCATCCGAGGAGGAGGAGGACAAGGAGGACATGAAAGGTGGGATGCACTCTGAGCGTCCTAGGCAATTTGAGTCGAACCACAACAGGATTAATGACCTTCTCCACCACAAACGGACCAATGAACTTCGGTGACAGTTTCCTCGACTCTGTCCACAGAGGAAGATCCCGTGTAGCCAACCAGACCTTATCTCCGACGGCATAAGCGAGGGCTGAAATACGGCGACGATTAGTCTGGAGCTGATACCGGTCAGAAACTCTAAGGAGGGCCTTTCTGGCCCGATGCCCGGTCCGGTGACAACGGCGAATGTGGGACAGAGGGAACCGAGAGATCCTTCTCCTGAGAAGGAAACAAGGGAGGTTGGTAGCCGTAAAGGCACTGGAAGGGAGACATCCCAGTGGCAGATGTAGGGAGGGTATTATGGGCATACTCGACCCATGGCAACTGAGAGACCCAAGAGGTGGGGTTGGAGGAGACAAGGCAACGAAGCGTGGACTCCATCTTCTGGTTGGCTCTCTCCGCCTGACCATTAGATTGGGGGTGAAATCCAGATGTGAGACTGACTGTAGCTCCAATGGCCAAACAGAAGGATTTCCAGACAGCAGAGGTGAACTGAGGGCCACGGTCGGAAACTATGTCACTGGGCAACCCGTGAACCCTGAAAACCTCCCTAACAAGGATCTTGGACGTCTCAGAGGCAGAGGGAAGTTTGGAGATGGGCACAAAGTGGGCGAACTTGCTGAATCTGTCCACGATAGTCAGAATGACAGTGTTCCCATCAGAAGAGGGCAACCCAGTGACAAAGTCCAGGGCCAGATGCGACCATGGTCGCCGAGGAACAGGTATGGGCTGAAGAAGTCCAGAGCTGGGCCGATTGGTACTCTTATTCTGCGCATAAACTGGACAGGCAGCAACAAAACTCCGGGTATCTTCTCCCATGGCAGGCCACCAAAATCGTCGGCGTAGTAACGCCATAGTCCGAGCCACGCCAGGGTGACAAGCCATCTTGCTGGCGTGGGACCACTGGAGGACAGCAGAACGGACAGACTCTGGCACAAACAACTGCCCGGGTGGACCGTTACCGGGACCGGGTTTAACAGTGAGAAGCTCCCGGTTACCCACATCTTAATTTATCTCAGCAGGCGAAAGACGACAAGAGTAGAAGGCGCAGGGATGGAGCTTACTGTCAGTGGAGCTTCGCTGGGACAAGATGGCGCCAACCCCCACATCAGACGCGTTCACTTCCACAACAACCTGACGGGAAGTTTCAGGTTGAGAGAAAATAGGGGCGTTGGTGAATCGGCTCTTCAAGTCCAGGAATGCTCGGTCTGCCTCAGGATTCCAACAGAAGGTTCGGGTGCTAGAAGTCAGGGCAGTTAATGGAGCGGCCACACGGCTGTAATCACGGATAAATCTTCGATAGAAATTCGCAAACCCCAGAAACCTCTGGAGCTGCAATCTCGTATCGGACTGGGCCCAATCAAGAACCGCCCTAACCTTCTCTTGGTCCATCTTAATCTCTCCCTTGGAGATGATGTATCCGCGGAAGGATGTAGTGTGGGCGTGAAAATCACACTTCTCTGCCTTCACAAACAGGCGGTTCTCCAATAATCGCTGCAGGACCTGCTTGACACGCTGGATGTGGCTGGAAAGCTCCTTAGAGAAAATGAGAATGTCATCCAGGTAAACGAACACAAAAAGACCGATCATATCTCTCAGAACGTCATTCAAGATACTCTGGAACACTGCTGGAGCATTGGTCAGTCCAAACGGCATCACTTGATACTCGAAATGTCCCATAGGTGTATTGAACCCAGTCAACCACTCGTCCCCCTCTCTGATCCGGACCAGATGATACGCATTGCGTAAATCAAGCTTAGTGAAAACAGTAGCACCCTGAAAGGAGTCGAAAGCAGAGCTCATCAAGGGCAGGGGATACTTGTTCTTGACAGTAATATCATTCAAACCCCGATAATCAATACAAGGTCGAAGATCCTTCCTTCTTACTCACAAAAAAGAATCCTGCTCCCAGGGGTGATGACGATGGACGAATGAGACCAGCAGCTAGGGACTCCTTTATGTAGGTCTCCAAGGCTTCACGTTCAGGCCGAGAGATACTGTATAAACGTCCCTTGGGATAGGCAGCTCCAGGGATCAGATTTATAGCACAGTCATATGGTCGGTGGGGAGGAAGTGACAGAGCCTTCTGCTTACTGAACACTTCACCCAAATCGTGATATGTTTCAGGAACTAGGGACAAATCTGGGGGGGGGGCAGAATCAATAACCTGACTGGGAACAGAATGGGAACAGGCAGTCTTAAGGCAGTTAGCATGACATTAGTTACCTTGCCAGTCACCCAATCGAACGTGGGATTGTGTTCTCTCAGCCAGGGGTATCCAAGAACCAGGGGGGCACGGGGAGATGGCAGAATGAAGAAGGAGATAAACTCTGAATGATTACCTGACAGCAGCAATTTAACAGGTTCAGTCCTCATAGTGATACGTGCCAGACTACTGCCGTTCAGAGTGGTAGCTTCAATGACTTCCGGTAATCGCTCCTTGGAAATCCCAGCTGTTCCACCAAGTCGGCATGCATAAAGCTGCCATCGGCACCTGAATCGATAAAAGCGTTAATCTCCAAAATCTGATTCTTGTTCATGAGGGTTGCAGGAAAACGGGGTCTGACAGGGTTATTGAGAGGCTGAAACTGGCTCGCTAAAAGTCCTCCCAAACTTACCGAGCCGGGCAGTTTAACGGGCGCTGGGGACAAGCGGAGATGTAATGTCCCGGGTTACCACAGTAGAGGCAGCGGTTGGTCTCACGTCTACGTTGGCGCTCCTCCTTGGTTAACCCGTGCCGCCCCACTTGGGTTCAGGATCTGGAGGCAGGACCCCTCCTCTAATCTCGTGTGGTGAATAATGATCAGCTCGTTCTGGTCCATTTCCTGACTTGAATGGTAACCGAGTAGATGAGTGATTGGAAGACCCCCATCGCTTCTCCCTCCTTCTCTCTCAGATTCTGTTATCCACCCGAATAGATAACGCTACCAAACTGTCCAGGTCGCTAGGCTCAGGATAAGAGATCAGTTCATCCTTGAGTTGCTCTGACAACCCCTGATAAAAAACCGCTTGTAGGGACTCCTCATTCCACCCACTCTCCACAGCCAATGTCCTGAATTCAATAACAAAGTCTGCTACACTGCGAGCTCCTTGTCGAAGAGAAAACAGACGATTAGCTGCGTCCTTACCTCGGACTGGATGGTCAAAAATCTTCCTCATCTCTGCCGTGAACTCCTGGTATGATGCCATGCAGGTGTCCTGTCGTTCCCATGAGGCTGAAGCCCACTCCAGAGCTCTTCCACGCAGCAGTTCAATTACAAAAGCTATCCTAGCCTTGTCTGTGGCGTAAGAGTTGGTCTGCAGGTCAAAAACTAATCCACACTGCATGAGAAATGAACGGCATCTTCCCAAATCCCCTTCGTATTTCTCTGGTGTCGGAACCTTGGGCTCACGGAAGGATACAGCTCCAGAAGCGGCAGGCGAGAGGGGTGAATTCAGGTGGTGGATTCTCCGCCGGCAAACTGAGCTGAGCCTGGATACTCGTCAGACTGGCAGAAAAGTTCAGAACTGAAAACGCTATCTCCTGTAGCGCCGTGCTGTGTTGTCCCAACATCTTTCCTTGATGGGTAATGGCATGGCGAACGGAGTCCAGGTCCGCTGGGTTCAACCTTGGCCGGATCGTTCTGTCACGATTCTCTAAAGCAGAACCCAGAAGCAGATCAGGACAAGGTGAGTTGAATGAAGGTGAGCATTTATTTAAAGACTTAAATGTGGAAGCAGGAGAATCCAGGTGACGGAGCTGGCAGTGGAGGTGAGTTGGTGGGAGTGAATGGGCAGATCCAAATATTTTTTTTTTTTTACATTTTAGTAATTTAGCAGACGCTCTTATCCAGAGCGACTTACAGTTAGTGAGTGCATACATTTTCATACTGGCCCCCCGTGGGAAACGAACCCACAACACTGGCGTTGCAAGCGCCATGCTCTACCAACTGAGCTACAGGGGACTAATGATGTCTCTGAAGCCACAGACGACCAGGCAGCGGTGGAGTGAATGTTCCGGAAGAGTAACTGTAGACAGAGGAAACGAAGGTGAGTTCACAGCAAGCAAAAAGTAACAGAACAGCAAAACTAACTCTTAGTAATCTGAGGCTGACACGCAGGCACCACATACTGCTCATGGCGAACGATCCGGCAGGGAATGGATGTCAGGTCAGAGCTTATGAAGTGGAGAGGTGATGATCAGAACCAGGTGGGCAGATAGCTGCAGGTGCGGGTAATGGAGAGATCTCCCGCCTTACTTTGTCGCCCGGCAACCAGACAGGGTGCGCTCAGGAAACTCAGGAAAAAACAACTCCAGGACAAAAACAGGCAACTCAGACAGAAACCGACTCAGGAAGCGGGATTCATGACAGGTATGGGGCTGTTTTTCATGGTTCGGGTTATGCCCCTTAGTTCCAGTGGAGGGAAATCTTAACGCTACATCATACAATGACATTCTAGAAGATTCTGTGCTTCCAACTTTGTTGCAACAGTTTGGGGAAGGCCTTTTCCTGTTCATGCATGACAAAGCCCCCATGCACAAAGCGAGATCCATAAAGAAATGGTTTGTCGAGATCGGTGTGGAAGAACTTGACTGGCCTGCACAGAGCCCTGACCTTAACCCCATCGAACACCTTTGGGATGAATTGGAACACCAACTGCGAGCCAGGCCTAATCACCCAACATCAGTGCTCAACCTCACTAATGCTCTTGTGCCTGAATGGTGCCTGAATGGAAGCAATTCCCCGCAGCAATGTTCCAACATCTAGTGGAAAGCCTTCCCAGAAGAGTGGAGGCTGTTATAGCAGCAAAGGGGGGGGACCAACTCCATATTAATGCCCATGATTTTAGAATGAGATGTTCGACGAGCAGGTGTCCACATAATTTTGGTCATGCAGTGTATGTGAACAATTTCAATAAGATTTGCAAGCATGCATTTCAATGTGAGAACTAATTTACTAAACTTGCGACTGGTGAATTTTCTTCTGTGAATCAAAACTACATTTGCCGGTGTCTAATATGTTTTGGCACTAATTTGGCACCAAACAAACAACACAGCAAGAAGGAACTAACACCTAACGACACACGAAACGAAAAACAACCACGCACAAGACACATTGGGAGCACCTGGGTTAAATAGGATTACACAAAATTGGGAAACAGGTGTGTGACAATCAGACAACAGGTGCAACATAGAAACAGAGAACATAGATCGGCAGCAGCTAGTATTCGGATCGCCGCAGCCTGCCAGTAGTATTCCGGTGACGACGAACGCCGCAGCAAGGAGGAGGGGCAGCCTCGGCGGAATCCGTGACAGAAGAACAGTGAGTGTTGTGTTGGGAGTTGTTGTATTCTTATTTTGCTAATGCGAATGTTTAGCTGATATGGAGTGGACTGCATTTCAAAAAGTAATCTGTATGAGAGATCATGTCTTCACCATACATACCCCTGTACTGGGCGCGGTGACCCCACATGGGCTGGGGTACGCTGGCATAGCCATTTCAGACACTGGTTGATGGCTAGGATGAAGTTAACAGCACTCCATGGGCAGAAAGTTTTTTTTTGCCAACCCTGAGTGGGATTGGCTCAGTCAGCTGCTTCCCACAAATAACTTTGCACACATCAGATATAATGTCCACATAAGGCTGAGGCAGTTTTATTTCCTCATCAGATATAATGTCCACATAAGGCTGAGGCAGTTGTATTTCCTCATCAGATATAATGTCCACATAAGGCTGAGGCAGTTGTATTTCCTCATCAGATCTAATGTCCACATAAGGCTGAGGCAGTTGTATTTCCTCATCAGATATAATGTCCACATAAGGCTGAGGCAGTTGTATTTCCTCATCAGATCTAATGTCCACATAAGGCTGAGGCAGTTGTATTTCCTCATCAGATCTAATGTCCACATAAGGCTGAGGCAGTTGTATTTCCTCATCAGATCTAATGTCCACATAAGGCTGAGGCAGTTGTATTTCCTCATCAGATATAATGTCCACATAAGGCTGAGGCAGTTGTATTTCCTCATCAGATATAATGTCCACATAAGGCTGAGGCAGTTGTATTTCCTCATCAGATATAATGTCCACATAAGGCTGAGGCAGTTGTATTTCCTCATCAGATATAATGTCCACATAAGGCTGAGGCAGTTGTATTTCCTCATCAGATCTAATGTCCACATAAGGCTGAGGCAGTTGTATTTCCTCATCAGATCTAATGTCCACATAAGGCTGAGGCAGTTGTATTTCCTCATCAGATCTAATGTCCACATAAGGCTGAGGCAGTTGTATTTCCTCATCAGATATAATGTCCACATAAGGCTGAGGCAGTTGTATTTCCTCATCAGATATAATGTCCACATAAGGCTGAGGCAGTTGTATTTCCTCATCAGATATAATGTCCACATAAGGCTGAGGCAGTTGTATTTCCTCATCAGATATAATGTCCACATAAGGCTGAGGCAGTTGTATTTCCTCATCAGATATAATGTCCACATAAGGCTGAGGCAGTTGTATTTCCTCATCAGATATAATGTCCACATAAGGCTGAGGCAGTTGTATTTCCTCATCAGATATAATGTCCACATAAGGCTGAGGCAGTTGTATTTCCTCATCAGATATAATGTCCACATAAGGCTGAGGCAGTTGTATTTCCTCATCAGATATAATGTCCACATAAGGCTGAGGCAGTTGTATTTCCTCATCAGATATAATGTCCACATAAGCCTGAGGCAGTTGTATTTCCTCATCAGATATAATGTCCACATAAGGCTGAGGCAGTTGTATTTCCTCATCAGATATAATGTCCACATAAGGCTGAGGCAGTTTTATTTCCTCATCAGATATAATGTCCACATAAGGCTGAGGCAGTTGTATTTCCTCATCAGATATAATGTCCACATAAGGCTGAGGCAGTTGTATTTCCTCATCAGATATAATGCCCACATAAGGCTGAGGCAGTTGTATTTCCTCATCAGATATAATGTCCACATAAGGCTGAGGCAGTTGTATTTCCTCATCAGATATAATGTCCACATAAGGCTGAGGCAGTTGTATTTCCTCATCAGATATAATGTCCACATAAGGCTGAGGCAGTTGTATTTCCTCATCAGATATAATGTCCACATAAGGCTGAGGCAGTTGTATTTCCTCATCAGATATAATGTCCACATAAGGCTGAGGCAGTTTTATTTCCTCATCAGATATAATGTCCACATAAGGCTGAGGCAGTTGTATTTCCTCATCAGATATAATGTCCACATAAGGCTGAGGCAGTTGTATTTCCTCATCAGATATAATGTCCACATAAGGCTGAGGCAGTTGTATTTCCTCATCAGATATAATGTCCACATAAGGCTGAGGCAGTTGTATTTCCTCATCAGATATAATGTCCACATAAGGCTGAGGCAGTTGTATTTCCTCATCAGATATAATGTCCACATAAGGCTGAGGCAGTTGTATTTCCTCATCAGATATAATGTCCACATAAGGCTGAGGCAGTTTTATTTCCTCATCAGATATAATGTCCACATAAGGCTGAGGCAGTTGTATTTCCTCATCAGATATAATGTCCACATAAGGCTGAGGCAGTTGTATTTCCTCATCAGATATAATGTCCACATAAGGCTGAGGCAGTTGTATTTCCTCATCAGATATAATGTCCACATAAGGCTATAATGTCCACATAAGGCTGAGGCAGTTGTATTTCCTCAAGTGCATTGATCATTATACTCTTTGATAAAGTACCAAAGACAAGTCCAGAAAACACAGAGTTTGTGGATTCATGCTTGAAGTCATCAATTCCAGTTTTTAGGCAGAAAACATGCTCATTTATACCCTGTCTGTTTATATATATAATAATATAATATCCATGGTAAGCAAGCATTTAATGAACACATTAAAGACAGAGGGCAGATGTCTCTCCATATAGACAGATCATTTGGAAAATTGTATTTTGGGGGCATCCTTCTGTGAATCAGGTACCTTTCCCATTAATCAGACAGGCGTTGATGATATGCATGAGGGCCTGGGAGGACTGGGGGGCCTTGTGGACTCATAAATACCATCTGATCCACTTGCCTTGTTGTTTGGTAGAGAAGTAAAAACATGATCTACCTCCTCAAGGGTGAAATTACATGTCACTAGGAAATAGTCTGATTGTACCGTTTCCATGGTTTCACACAGTCAATGTTCATACTCAGAGAAATCCGTCCAGGTGAACTGGGGACGGGGGACGGGTCATGAATGTTCCATTGCTGGTCTGAAAGAAGATTTTAGCGACAAGGCACAGCTGTGCCAAAAGTGTCCAAAACATCATCAGACCTTTACTGCATTAACGACGGCAGTTACAACCGGTGTGCTGAAGTTGTTTTAGTAGATGACCATGTTGTGGCACAGAGCAGCAGCACACACACACACACACACACACACACACACACACACACACACACACACACACACACACACACAGACACAGACACAGACACAGACACAGACACAGACACAGACACAGACACACACACACACACACAGGCACAGACACACACACACACACACACACACACACACACACACACACACACACACAAACACACAAAACACACACACACACACACAGATACAGACACAGGCACACACACACACACACACACACACACACACACAGAGGCACAGACACACAGACACAGGCACAGACACACACACACACACACACACACACACAGACACACAGACACACACAGACACACACACAAATAGTCCGGGTGGCCATTTGATTAGATGTTCAGGAGTCTTATGGCTTGGGGGTAGAAGCTGTTCAGGAGCCTTTTGGACCTAGACTTGCCGCTCCAGTACCGCTTGCCGTGCGGTAGCAGAGAGAACAGTCTATGACTAGGGTGACTGGAAACGTTGACAATTTTTTGGGCCCTCATCTGACACCACCTGGTATAGAGGTCCTGGATGGCAGGAAGCTTGGCCCCAGTGATGTACTGGGCCGTACGCACTACCTTCTGTAGTACCTTGCGGTCGGAGGCCGAGCAGTTGCCATACCAGGCAGTGATGCAACCGGTCAGGATGCTCTCGATGGTGCAGCTGTAGAACCTTTTGAGGATCTAGGGACCCATGCCAAATCTTTTCAGTCTCCTGAGGGGGAAACAGCGTTGTCGTGCCCTCTTCACAACTTTCTTGGTGTGTTTGGACCATGATAGTTTGTTGGTGATGTGGACACAAAGGAACTTAAAACTCTCGACCCACTCCACTACAGCCCCGTCGATGTGAATGGGTTCGTGTTCGGCCCTAATTTTCCTGTAGTCCACGATTCTCTGTGTGTGGAGTAAAGGTGGTCTAGAGTTTTTTTTCCTCTGGTTGCACATTTAACATGCTGGTAGAAATGAGGTAGAACGGATTTAAGTTTCCCTGCATTAAAGTCCCCGGCCACTAGGAGCGCTGCCTCTGGATGAGCGTTTTCCTGTTTACTTATGGCCTTATACAGCTCATTGAGTGCAATCTTAGTGCCAGCATCGGTTTGTGGTGGTAAATAGACAGCTTCGAAAAATATAGAAGAAAACTCTCTTGGTAAATAGTGTGTAATACAGATTATCATGAGATACTCTACCTCAGGCGAGCAAAACCTTGGGACTTCCTTAGTATTAGATTTTATGCACCAGCTGTTGTTAACAAATATACACAGACCTCCACCCCTTGTCTTACCGGAGTCAGCCGTTCTATCCTGCCGATGTAGCGTATATCCCGCCAGCCGTCGTTGGCTAGGTACTGCTCTGTTTCAGCTGTCGTGGAGGAGGTGCTTTATACATTTACATTTTACATGTACGTCATTTAGCAGACGCTCTTATCCAGAGCGACTTACAAATAGGTGCATTCACCTTATAGCCAGTGGGATAACCACTTTACAATGTATTATTATTATTTATTTTTTTATTTATTTTTGGGAGGGGGGGGGGGGGGGGGGGGGGGGGTTTGGAGTAAGGGGGGGGGGGGGGGGGGGGGGGCTATCACTAGCACAGAGAGGCTGCTGCCTACATACAGACTTGAAAATCACTGGCCACTTTAATAAATGGAACACTAGTCACTTTAATAATGCCACTTTAATAATGTTGACATATCTTGCATTACCCATCTCATATGTATTTACTGTATTCTATACTATCTATTGCATCTTAGCCTATGCCACTCTGATAATGACATTGCTCATCCATATATTTATATATTCCTATTACATTCCTTTACTTAGATTTGCGTGTATTAGATATTTGTCGTGGAACTGCTAGATATTACTGCACTGTTGGAACTAGAAGCACAAGCATTTAGCAAAAACGTCTGATCCAGAGCGACTTACAAATTGGTGCATTCAACTTATGATAGCCAGTGGGACAACCACTTTTATTTTTATTTTTATGGGGGGGGGGGGGGGGGGGGGGGAGAAGGATTACTTTATACTATTCCAGGTATTCCTTAAAGAGGTGGGGTTTCAAATGTCTCCGGAAGGTGGTGAGTGACTCCGCTGTCCTGGCGTCGTGAGGGAGCTTGTTCCACCATTGGGGTGCCAGAGCAGCGAACAGTTTTGACTGGGCTGAGCGGGAACTATGCTTCCGCAGAGGAAGGGGAGCCAGCAGACCAGAGGTGGATGAACGCAATGCCCTCGTTTGGGTGTAGGGACTGATCAGAGCCCGAAGGTACAGAGGTGCCGTTCCCCTCACTGCTCCATAGGCAAGCACCATGGTCTTGTAACGGATGCGAGCTTCAACTGGAAGCCAGTGGAGTGTGCGGAGGAGGGGGGAGACGTGAGAGAACTTGGGAAGGTTGAACACCAGACGGGCTGCGGCATTCTGGATGAGTTGTAGGGGTTTAATGGCACAGGCAGGGAGGCCAGCCAACAGCGAGTTGCAGTAATCCAGACGGAAGATGACAAGTGCCTGGATTAGGACCTGTGCCGCTTCCTGTGTAAGGCAGGGTCGTACTTATTTACCTTCAGAGGTGAATGTATCAAACCAGTTGCCGTGAGAAGTGTTTTGTTGTTGTGCACTCTCCTCAAACAATAGCATGGTATCTTTTCACTGTAATAGCTACTGTAAATTGGACAGTGCAGTTAGATTAACAAGAATTTAAGCTTTCTGCCCATATAAGACACGTCTATGTCCTGGAAAGTTTGCTGTTACTTACAACAGTCATGCTAATCACATTAGCGCACGTTAGCTAAACCGTCCCGTATACGGGACACCGATCCCGTAGAGGTTAAGAAACTGACTGTTAGAACTGTTAAGGCTCCATGGATTGACGAGGAATTGAAAAACTGTCTGGTTGAAAGAGACGGGGCAAAAGGATTGGCTAATAAGTCTGGCTGCACATCTGACTGGTTGACTTACTGCAAATTGAGAAATTATGTGACTAAACTCAACAAAAAGAAGAAGAAACTGTATTATGAAGCCAATATCAATGATATAAAGAATGATGGGAAAAAAAAACTTTGTAGCAATTTAAATGAAATTCAGCTTCATCTTTCATCGAAACAGATGGCTTATTCATCACAAAACCATTTGATGTTGCCAATTATTTTTATGATTACTTCATTGGCAAGGTGGTCAAACTTAGCCAGGAAATGCCAACAACAAACAGTGCGCCATCGTACTCATGCATAAGAAAAAACTAATAATGAAAGAAAAGCATTGCAAGTTTGAATCTTGTAAAGTTAGTGTAGGAGAGATGGGGAAACATATGTTTATCATAATAATGCAAACCTCCTTGGCAACTCATCCTCCTTATCCCTTCTATCCCTTCTTTATCCGCCAGCCGCGGGAGCCGCGCCAGCCGCGCCAGCCCGCGGGAGCCCGCGCAGCCCGCGGGAGCCCGCGGAGCCGCGGGAGCCCGCGCCAGCCCGCGCCAGCCCGCGGAGCCCGCGGAGCCCGCGGGAGCCCGCGCCAGCCCGCGCCAGCCCGCGGGAGCCCGCGCCAGCCCGCGGGGCCCGCGCGAGCCCGCGGGAGCCGCGCCAGCCCGCGCCAGCCCGCGGGAGCCCGCGCCAGCCCGCGGGAGCCGCGCCAGCCCGCCCAGCCGCGCCAGCCCGGCCAGCCCGCGCCAGCCGCGCCAGCCCGCGCCAGCCCGCGCCAGCCCGCGGAGCCGCGGGAGCCGCGCCAGCCGCGGGAGCCCGCGGCCAGCCCGCCAGCCCGCGCAGCCCGAGCCAGCCCGCGCCAGCCACGCAGCAGCCCGCGCCAGCGGGAGCCCGCGCCAGCCGCGGAGCGGCAGCCAGGGGAGCCCGCGCCAGCCCGCGCCAGCCGCGGGAGCCCGCGCCAGCCCGCGGGAGACCGCGCCAGCCCGCGCCAGCCGCGCCAGCCCGCGCCAGCCGCGCCAGCCGCGGGAGCCGCGCCAGCCCGCGGGAGCCCGCGGGAGCCCGCGGGAGCCCGCGCCAGCCGCGCCAGCCCGCGGGAGCCCGCGGGAGCCGCGGGAGCCGCGCTAGCCCGCGCCAGCCCGCGGGAGCCGCGCCAGCCCGCGGAGCCGCGCCAGCCCGCGGAGCCCGCGCGAGCCGCGCCAGCCCGCGCAGCCCGCGCCAGCCCGCGCCAGCCGGGGAGCCCGCGCCAAGCCCGCGCAGCCCGCGCCAGCCCGCGCACCGCGGGAGCCGCCCAGCCCGCGCCAGCCCGCGCCAGCCCGAGGGAGCCAGCGCCCAGCCCGCGCAGCCGCGGGAGCCCGCGCCAGCCCGGGAGCCCGCGGGAGCCCGCGCAGCGGCAGCCCGCGCCAGCCGCGCCAGCCCGCGGGAGCCGCGCGCAAGCCCGCGCCAGCCGCGCAGCCCGAGGGAGCCCGCGCCAGCCCGCGCAGCGCGCAGCCCGCGCCAGCCCGCGCCAGCCCGCGGGAGCGCGCCAGCCGCGCCAGCCCGCGGGAGCCGCGAGCCCGCGGAGCAGCGCAAGCCGGGAGCCCGCGCCAGCCAGCGCCGCCAGAGCCGCGGGGAGCCCGCGGAAGCCCGCGCGAGCCCGCGGGAGCCCGCGACCGCCGCAGCCCGCGCAGCCCGAGGCAGCCCGCGGAGCCCGCGCAGCCCGCAGCCGCGGCAGCCCGCGCCAGCCCGGGAGCCCGCGCCACCCGCGGGAGCCCGCGCCAGCCAGCGGGAGCCCGCGGGAGCCCGCGGGAGCCCGCGCGAGCCCGCGCCGCCCGCGCCAGCCCGCGGGAGCCGC